TACTGAATGGAACATAAGGCCCTGATTAGTTAAGCTATTATAATTATATTGTACTGATTGGGTGAGCCATTATATATTGTACTGATTGACAACATACTGTACTGATTGGTTAAATGACTGACTCTTATACAAACTGAACAAAGAAATATAAAGAGAGAGAGAGAGAGAGAGAGAGAGAGAGAGAGAGAGAGAGAGAGAGAGAGAGAGAGTATAAAACAAAGATAAAAGCAAAAAAAAAGAAAACAGAAACAGAAAGACACAATAAGCAAAGAAAAGAGAGAGAATAAAAACACATAACGAATGACAAGATAATTACGCAGGATAAAAAGAGTTAATCCTATAAACGATCACTTGAGGCGAAAAAGAGAAGAAAAATGCAAGACGATGAAAGATCAGGATTATAATTTGTGTAGTCTGTGTGTGTGTGTGTGTGTGTGTGTGTGTGTGTGTGTGTGTGTGTGTGTGTGTGTGTTTCTCTGTCTGTCTGTGTATCTGTCTATCTATACCGTTTTTCTTTCTCTGTATCCATCTATCAAACACACTCTCTCTCTCTCTCTCTCTCCTCTCTCTCTCTCTCTCTCTCTCGTAGATAATGAACATATAGCGATAACCTCATAAACTCTTCTTCATTAAGATTAAGTGAGGAACAAATTATATCCTACCTGCATTCATAATTTTTTTAATGTTTGATTTGGTGTGTGTGTGTGTGTGTGTGTGTGTGTGTGTGTGTGTGTGTGTGTGTGTGTGTGTGTGTGTGTGTTCTCTCTTTTTCTGAGTATTCTATTTCCTCTCTCTCTCTCTCTCTCTCTCTCTCTCTCTCTCTGCACATTGTCATTGGTTTTGTCACAGTTAATCTTCTCAATGGCTCATGGTACAGGGCACTTTCTCCACTATCACCTCCCCCCTCCTTCCCTCCCTTCCCCCTCTTACAAAAATAAGTTCCATCTCCCCTCAACCTCTACTTCCCTCAAATCTCCACCTTCCTCCAACCTCCCTCTCTCCCACCACCACCACCACCATATCCGTTGAACCTCACCTTTCACACTCCCTCCACCTCCCTCCACACTCTCTCCACACTCCTACCTCCCTCAACTCCCTCCTCTCTCCACACTCCTCCACACTCCTCCACCTCCTACACTCCCTCCACCTCCTACCTCCCCTCCACACTCCTACATTTCCTCCCCTCCCTTCCTCCTTCCTCCCTCACTCCCCTCCACAGTCTTCTACTCCCTCTCCTCCCTCCCCACCCCTCCACACTCCTTCCCACCTCCCTCCCACCTCCTTCCCCTCCCCTCCACACGCCCTCCTCTTGTCCCTTTACCCTCGGGGCGTGCAGCGCAGGCGTAGGTGGGTCCTCAGCTCACCCCCATCATGCACGACCTAGGCACCCTCCCCTCCCTATTTCTCTCTCTCTCTCCTCTCTCTCTCTCTCTCACCTTCACCTCACCTTAACCAACGCCGTAATTGAGTTCTCTAGCAGTACAGGTTATCTACTGGGGGTCTTAACCTGCGCCACACAATACACCATTAAATTCTTCGTCTTCTCTGGTTATTGTGTTGCATTTGGTGTAGCTGCTTCTGGGATCGTCGAATTGGTTTCTAGTGGTTTCTGTTGGGTTTTTGTTGGGTTTTGTTGGTTTATGTTGGGTTTCTGTTGGGTTTTTTTATGTTGGATTTTTTGTTGTTGGTTTTTGTTGGATTTTGTTGGGTTTTTTAGGTTCTGTTGTTTTTGTTGTTTTTATTGTTTTTTGTTGGCGTCTGTTGTTTTTATTGTTTTGTTGGTTTCTGTTGGTCTTTCTTATTCTCTGTTGGCCTCTGTTAGCTTTTATTGGTCTCTGTTAACTTCTGTTGGTCTCTGGCAGCTTTTATTAGTCCCTCTTAGCTCCTGTTGGTCTCAATGTGTTGGTTTCTGTTGATTTCTCTTAGTTTCTGTTGGTTTAGTATTGGGATTACTGCCTATAGTATAAACAAGAACAGGAAAACGTGCCCTGCCCTGCCCTGATATGTAAAAACAAACACACACACACACATACTTACAAACACACACACACACACACACACACACACACATACAAACACACACACATACTTACAAACACACACACACACACACACACACACACACATACTTACAAACACACACACACACACACACACACACACACACACATACTTACAAACACACACACACACACACACACACACACATCCACACACACACACACACACACACACACACACACACACACACACACACACACACACACACACACACACACACCACTATCTCTACGTTATCTTGTAGTGTAAATATTTGCTGTTACTTTATTACCTCTCGTAACTTAATATCTCAGTTGTGTTTGTTATGAAATATTACTGAAGTGGAGAACCAGGACGAGTATTATTTTATTCAAGAAATGTCAATGTACGCGAGCTTGTTCTGTGTGTGTGTGTGTGTGTGTTTGTGTGTGTGTGTGTGTGTGTGTGTGTGTGTGTGTGTGTGTGTGTGTGGTGTGTGTGTGTGTGTGTGTGTGTGTGTGTGTGTGTGTGTGTGTGTGTGTGTGGTGTGTGTGTGTGTGTGTGTGTGTGTGTGTGTGTGTTGTGTGTGTGTGTGTGTGTGTGTGTGTGTGTGTGTGTGTGTGTGTGTGTGTGTGTGTGTGTGTGTGTGTGTGTGTGTGTGTGTGTGTGTGTGTGTGTGTGTGTGTGTGTGTGTGTGTGTGTGTGTGTGTGTGTGTGTGTGTGTGTGTGTGTTCTGCCTCTTTTGTGCATTCGTTTATTTAGTTTCTGTTTATTTTTCATCTCTCTCTCTCTCTCTCTCTCTCTCTCTCTCTCTCTCTCTCTCTCTCTCTCTCTCTCTCTCTCTCTCTCTCCCTACACAGTACCTACCTGAGACACGCGACCATTTTAATAATTAAGCCGCATCCTGCCGCTTCCTGTACACCCATACTGTCTGTCTTTCTGTCTGTTTGTCTGTTTGTCTGTCTGTCTGTCTGTCTGTATTTTGCTGTCTCTGTGTGTAACTTTCTATCTTATTTTGTTTGTTGGACTGTGCATATGTCTGTCTGTCTGTCTGTCTGTCTGTCTGTCTGTCTGTCTGTCTATGCCTCTCTACAACAGCATAAATTGAGAGAATGAACCACATAGGCACAAGGGTGAAGTCAGTTAACAATAGTCCAATTAGGTTCTTTAATGATCTCTAAACAATAGCTCGATCGACGCTCTCAACTCATGTCAACAGAACCCTTAATAATAGACTGTCGAGGTCATCATGCTTGTGTTTTTTGGCACTATGATTGGTTCTTAAGGTGGCACTATGATTGGTCCAAAAGGGTGGAACTATGATTGGTCCAAAAGGGTCGCACTATGATTGGTCCAAAAGGGTGGCACTATGATTGGTCAAAAGGTGGCACTATGTTGGTCCAAAAGGGTGGCACTATGATTGGTTCTTAATGGTGGCACTATGATTGGTCCAAGGGTGGCACTATGATTGGTCCAAAAGTGGCACTAAATTGGTTCATGAGGGTGGCACTATGATTGGTCCAAAGGGTGGCACTATGATTGGTCCAAAGGGTGGCACTATGATTGGTCCAAAAGGGTGGCACTAAAATTGGTTCATGGTGGCACTATGATTGGTCCAAAAGGGTGGCACTATGATTGGTCCAAAAGGGTGGCACTGATTGGTTTATAAGGACCAATCAGTGCCACCCTAATGGATCGGTGGTGATTTTTTATAAATTTGGGTAATAACTTTTATCAGTGACTTTTGGGAACTTTTAAATACTTTTGCAATGCTAATTAATTTTCGATGAGTCTTTTTTTGGGGTGTTTTGGTGTTGATTCGGGATGTAGGAAAGTAGTTAGCAGCCACTGAAGCCTGAAACAAAGGTACGAATATCCACTGAAGCCTCAAACAAAAGTATGAATATCCACTGCAGCCTCAAACAAAGGCACTAACATTCACTGAAGCTTCAAACCAAGAAGTACAAACACTCACTGAAGCCTCAAACAAAAGTACAAACACTCACCGAAGCCTCAAATTAAAAGTAAACCCACATAAACCTCAAACCAAAGTATTAACATTCACTGAAGCCTCAAACAAAAGTACAAACACTCACTGAAGCCTCAAATTAAAGTACAAACCCACACTAAAACCTCAAACCAAAGTATTAACATTCACTGAAGCCTTTAACAAAAGTACTAACAGCCACTGAAGCCTCTAACAAATTATGAATATCCACTAAACCGAAAACACACACACACACACACACACACACACACACACACACACTGGCGCTCATGAGTAGAGTTTTTCTTTTTCTTTTCGTTACCGGAGATGCGAGAAGCTTATTGAACGAGTTAATTGAGGAAAGATTCTCAAATGATCGTAAACTCTTGTGTTAGCTTCCTGGTGTTGTGAAAGATCGTAGGTGATTCTTCTCACTTAAGTTATGGCAGTTCCAGAATTGCTACATACATACATACATACATACATACATACATACATACATACATACTGTACATACATACATACATACATGCATAAATACACACATATACTTATATTTACACACACACACACACACACACACACACACACACACACACACACACACAGTCGATGAGCCAAAAATTAATCCACTAATCCCTGTCATTGGCCTATAAGAACTGGTTTAATGACGTATTCATAGCCAATGAAAACCCCACGAAAATGGATAAACGCAACGCCTCTAAAAGCCTATTAACGCCTCTAAACGCCTATAAACGCCATAAAAAGTGAAAACAAATTGACTTAAGCAGATTTTGAGACTAGGCGAGCTCCACCAGGCTGTCTTCACCCAAACACGCTGAAAGTCTGCCTGAAGTGAGCTAATGGTGGCTGTCATTTCGTGTCAGTGGGCTCCGGTAATGGCTGGTAATGGTTGTTAATGGCTTTTAATGGCTTCTAATGGCGTATATATGAAGAATAAAATAAGTTAATGGCTTTGGGGCCGATACGCCTTATGGTGCAGGTAATGTGTTGGGAAGATGGAAAGTTAGGAGGTTTTCTTTCTATTCTTTTCTTTCTTTTTTTTTTTTTATTATTATTATTTATTATTATTATTATTATTATTATTATTATTATTATTATTATTATTATTATTATTATTATTATTCCTCTTTATCATTTTCATTCACCTACTCCCCACCACTCACTACCTCCCCCACCTACCTCCCCACCACTACCTCCCACACCCTCCTCTCCCACCACCCTCTCCCCTCCCCACCACCTACCTCTCCCCTCCTCCCCCTCCACAACCTTCCCACCACTACTCTCCCCACTACCTCTCCCCACCACTCCTCTCACAACCTTCCCTCCCACACCCTACCTCTCCCCACCACTAACTCCCCCAAACGACCCATAAACCCTGGGCTAAACCTATGTCTTGTGTGAACCTGAGAATCAATTAATGTGTTCAATAATTCCTATTGATGTGTGTTATTAACCTGTGTTGGGGGGGGGTGAGGGAGGTGAGGTTAAGAGGAGGAGAGAGTGTGAGAGAGAGACACTGAGACAGAGAGAAATAGAGACAGAAAAAAAGTTATCTTCATATAATAATGAATAATTATTATTTATACAACAAAAACAATAATAACACCCTCCTCCTCCCCCCTCCACCCCTCCCCATTATCACCTATACCATTGGCTACGATCACGAACGACCTCAACCAATCTAAACGAGAACTCTGTTCCCCTAACCCTCCTCCAACCAATCACAGGCCTGGGTTCTCGCATCACCTAACCAATCATAAAATTACCCAAATACATATGAAAAAAAATGGCAGAAGTAATTTAGAATAATGAACTCTGTTTATTTTCCCCGTGACAAATGGCTTCCAGGTATAGAGTGTCAAGGTATAATGAACCGTATGGACGTGTGTCTAAAGAAATGAGGAATATTGGACGTAAATATTAATCAAGAACTTTACTGAACATCGGAGTAGCACGGATAGGTGTGACCTTGACCTTTGACCCCTGTGTTTCTTGGTTAGGTTAGGATAGGTTAGGTTTGGTTTGGGCTAGACTTATACAATTTGAAAACCAAACCTAACCTAACCTAACCTAACATCCGGAAGTACTGTACATAAGGCAGCTCAATTTTCTCATTAACTCTCACATAGTTGACGGGACATATACAAATTGTCACTCAATACACGTGTTTACCTATCGGTCTGCCTCGCGCGCTCGTGTGTGTGTGAGAGAGAGAGAGAGAGAGAGAGAGAGAGAGAGAGAGAGAGAGAGAGAGATTTTTCATTGTGTGTGTGTGTGTGTGTGTGTGTGTGTGTGTGTGTGTGTGTGTGTCTGTGTGTGTGTGTCTGTGTGTGTGTGTGTGGCAATAGGAGACTGTGCTGATACACATTATTGCTTCCTCTATATCATACAGCCTGTGATCACTCCATCGCTGCTTCTGGCACCGAGAGAGAGAGAGAGAGAGAGAGAGAGAGAGAGATGAAGATAGAAAAGGAGGAGAAGGAGGAGAGGACGAGTTGGAAGGAGAAAGGGGGAGTGAATAAGTGGGGAGAAATGAAAGAGATAAGTAGGGAAAGAGAGAAGGAAATGAAAGAAAATGAGATAAAGAGAGAAGGAAGGAAAATGGATTTTTCATTATTATTTTTCATTATTATTATTATTATTATTATTATTATTATTATTATTATTATTATTATCGTTGCTATTATAATCAAAATCACTAACTGCATCGTTACCCTTAACATCATCACTACTTTCTCAAATCACCACCACCGCAAAAACAAAACAACAACAACAACAACAACAAACAAAAACACACGAAATGTTAAACCACCACCACATCCACAACCACAACTACCACAACCACAAAACAAAAACACACACAAAAATGTTAAATCACCACTACAACCACAAAAAACCACACACACACACACAAACACAACAAAAAATGTCCAAAAATTCTCACGGGTAAAAATTGTGGACAGTTTGTAGCAGGTTGGCGTGTACCCAAGAGAGAGGAAGGCCAAATTATGGATCACTATTCTGTAACGTAATAAACTTTATATACGAGCACTTCTGGCCGTCCTAAGTCTGGATTATAAGCCCAAAAGACTCTCCTTCAATGCCTCTGTCATTTCAAATGTATTAAATCTTACCACTTTCTCAGGGGTCGTATCATATCTTAAGAGAATTTGGACAGAGAGGAACAGCACTTTGAGATGAAGATGAGGGGTGAGGGGTATGGGAGGAGGAGGGAGGGTTAGGAAGGGGTAGAGGTGGAGGAAATAGAGGAGAGGGGCAGAGTGTTAATCTGGATTCGAGTATCTGAGTATTTTTTTATATATATTTTGTGTATTTTAAGGATTTCTTTTATGTTCTTGTGTGTGTGTGTGTGTGTTTGTTGTTTGTGTGTGTGTGTGTGTGTGTGTGTGTGTGTGTGTGTGTGTGTGTGTGTGGGCCATTTTTTATTCTATATATGTTTATCTCTGTTTTTATTTCCCCATTAAACCCACAACACCTGTAATCATCTCTTCCTCTAACGTGTAATTCTCTCCAACACGTGTAATTCTCTCCAACACGTGTAATTCTCTCCAACACGTGTAATTCTCTCCAACACCTGTAATTCTCTCCAACACCTGTAATTCTCTCCTCCCCAACAGGTGTCATGGATACGTCACCGAGACTTACACGTCCTCACTGTAGGGTCCTTCACCTTCACCAATGACGAAAGGTTCTCAGCTCACCGTGATCCTACTACAGGAGACTGGATCCTAGTGCTCCGTCGGCCTTCCCCTCAGATTCGGGTTCCTACGAGTGCTCCATCTCCACCAAACCCGTCATGTCTATCACCGTCAAGCTCAAAGTTGTGGGTAAGTTGGGGGTGGGGTGGTGAGTAGTGGTGGATGAAGAGTGTTGTGGTGGTGGATGAGTTGTGTTGGGGGTAGTGGTGGATGAGAATGTTGTGGTGGTGGATGAGTTGTGTTGGGGGTAGTAGTTGGTGGATGAGAGAGTGTTGTGTGATGAGTTGTGTTGTGGGTGAGAGGGGGTGGGTTTTATTGTTGTGGTGGAGGTGGATGATGTCGTGTTGTAGCTTCGTAGTTGATCGTGGTTGTAGATGTTGTTGTTTCTGTTCCTGCCCCCCCAAGACGAGTGTGGTTGTGTGTGAAAATATTATGACGTTGACATTTCTTACCCCAAGTCAGTGTGATAGCTGGCTGGAACATTGTTAGAGAGAGAGAGAGAGAGAGAGAGAGAGAGAGAGAGAGAAGAGAGAGAAAGAGAGGAGGAGAGAGAGAGAGAGATATTAAAGAGAGAGAGAGAGAGTGAAAGAAGAGAGAGAGAGAGAGAGAGAGAGAGAGAGAGCTCTACACTTGTGGCCCACAAGAACCCATACAAGAAAGTCGATCCGGCGGAATTATTCAGTTCCCAGCAACTTTGCATTATATCGTGAGCATTGCCGGCCTCTCTTTAATATCTCTTTATTCCATCCCATCCCATCCTCTCTACCCCACCCGAACGGCTGTTAAATTGCCAGCCAGCCAGGAGGACAAATAGCCCACCTGGTGATAGTCGGCCAGGTATAAGTGACTCATTAATCACTACCATAGATCAAGAGGCTCAGATGGGGGACCCGGCGTCAACAAAAACACTGAAAATAACACCTTTTTTTTGTGTGTGTACCCAATATATGTGTGTGGCACTGCACCTGATCACCGGCCACTTACCCGCCCCGCCATCTGTAAAGTTAGGTACCCTTTTACAATTGGGTGGACTATGGGTGCCCTGATGTCTTGAAAAAAAAACATTCATGATTTATTTCTTTATTTACTTGTTTATTTGTTTATTTATTTGTTTGTTTATTTGTTTGTTTATTTGTTTATTTATTTGTATGTTTATTTATTTATTCAATAGTTATAGTCAGTATTTCATTGACAATATATACGATCTTGCAGGTACAGGTACATAACTACAGTTAATTTACAGGTACAGTTACATTAATACAGTCAAGTTACAGGTGCAGTTACAGGTAAGAGGACAGGCGCAGTTACAGGTGTTCAGACAGGTACAGTAGACAACATTAAGCTTGAAAGATGGACAGATACCAGGTCATTAAATACACTAATGAGTCATTAACCAAACACGGCCTAATGACTCACCTGAGCCCCTGGTTATAATTACATCAGATTACTTTAAATTACCTTGAAATTACCTTGAATAGAGTTAATCTGGTTATGTTTAACTACCATGACTACCTTGGATTACACTTGGGCTCGTTGAAATAATCTTAATCTATCTTGAGTTATGTTGAAGTAATTAAAGTCAGCTTGGATTACCTTTAATTACCGTGCTTAATTGGCAGTCCTGATTATGTGTGTTGTAATAAAGTATAATTAATTTTTTGGGGTATGTTTTCTTGTTCTTGTTCTTCTTGTTCTTCTTCTTGTTCTTTCTTCTTTCTTCTTCTTCTTCTTCTCCTCTTCCTCCCTTCACTATCCCATCACCTCCTCCACCCCTCACTCACCCCTCATCAACTCTCACTTACCCTCACCTTCCTCACTCACCCCTCATCAACTCTTCCCTCACCTTTCCCTTGTTCTCCCTCATCAACCTTCTTCCCCCACTCACCCCTCACCTTCCCTTCTTCTCCCCTCATCAACTCTTCCCCTCACTCACCCCCCACCTTCTCATCAACTCTTCCCTCACCATCTCTCCCTCGGACACCTCAAGATACTTCACGTCTCAGATATCGAAGCTTTATCTTGATTCCTTGTTTGTTCCCGCCCCTGACCCACCCCACCCCGTCCCGCCCCACCCCACCCCACCTCGCCCCACCCGTCCCCACCCTGCCTCGACCTACCTAGCCTGCCCTGCCCCTGCCCCTGCCTCGACCTACCTAGCCCCACCACATCCCACCAACCTACCTAGCCTGCCCCCATGCCACCTGACCTAATCCTGCCCCACCCCTGCCTCACCTGCCCAACTCCACCCCTGTCTCGAATCTACCTAAACCCGACCCACCCTGCCCGACTTAGCTCCTGCCCCCGACTCTGCCCCACTTCGTCCCAACCTGCTCAACGCTTCACTTCACCCATCCTAACCTCGTCCTTCCCCTCCCCCTCCCCACCCCCACCCTCCCCCTCCCCACCCCACCCTGCCCCACCCCCCACCTCCGCCCCACCCCCCACCTCTCCCCACCCCCACCCCGCCTCTCCCGCCCTGCCTCTCCTGCCCCTGCCTGTACCGCCCTCGGTCAATGAAGATGATCAGGAGGTCTGTCTCCAGGTAGTATAAGGTTTTAGGAGTCTCCCTTTACCAGTCACCCTGGTCTTTCCCCTTTTGTCTATTTTTACAAACTCTCTTTCTCTTAGCTTCATTTATTTTCTTTCTCCTTGTTTATTCTCTATTCTCCTCTTTCTCTCTGTCATTTGCCTTCGTCTTTCATTTGTTCTCTCTGTTTGTTTTCCTTTCCTTAATCTCTCTATCTTCCCTTCTTTTTCTGTGTGGGTCTCTCTCTCTCTCTCTCTCTCTCTCTCTCTCCCCCCCCCCCCCCCCCCCTCTCTCTCTCTCTCTCTCTCTCGTCCCCTCCATACATCAAACAGTGTGTCCTGGCTCCCTCCTACGCGTACAAACAGTGTACAGACGAGGCCAAATACTCCCTTTAAACAATAACGGAACTGGAGAACGTGTCGCAATAACAGATCAATCACGATATAAATAACGCAATTATGTATTTATCGGTGATTTATGATGGAATGGCGGTTTTAGCGTTCAAGTTAATGCAATAACGTTATCAATCATAGTATAAATCACAGCCTATGTCACGCAATCACAGCACATATTAAACCCGATACCACGCAACCACAGCAGATACAACCTAATCACAGCCGATATAAAGCAACCACAGCATAAATCACAGCCGATACCGTGCGATCACTGCCGATATAACGCAATAACAGCGCAAATCACAGCCCAATATAACGCAATCACAGTCCAAATCAGAGAGTTATTGCACCCAAATATTACACATATACACAGGTCGCATAAAACCATTAGCAGATAGCGGTAGAAATTCAATATATGATTTTTAAATTAATCTGTAGTAATTTCTGTAGTAATTTGGATTATGTAATGTTAGTGTATGTAATATTTTTGTATGTGGTCTAAAACGTGATATTTATACGTGTTAATGTGTCTGTGTGTTGTTAGTTAATTATTTTGTGGTGGTTGTGTGTGTGTGTGTGTGTGTGTGTGTTTTGTATGTATATTTGTATATGTGTGTGTGTGGGGGGGGGGTATGAGGTGTGTGTGTGTGTGTGTGTTATGTGTGATTATGTATACCCGTGAACATATATGCATTTTTGGTATACATATAATTATACTTTCATATATTCCTGGAGTTATATATACATGTATTCATATTCATAAGTATTTAAGTATATCATTTTACATTATCTTAAATTTATCTGGTATTAATCATTAACTAAAGCTTCTGGTTACAGTATTGTATGGCTGTATTTTATGAGTGCATTTTTCTGTAATGATCAAAGAATTTATGTATTTTCAATGTCGTATAAATATGTGGTTTTTATCCCCTTTACAATGCATGTGCTGTCGTGTGTATACCTGTGTATTTTACCTGTATACCTGTGTAGTGCACCTGTATACCTCTACCTGTATACCTGTGTAGTGCACCTGTATACATATGTACTTGTATACCTATATATTGTACCTGTATACCTGTGTAGTGCACCTGTATATGAACTGTATACTGTGAAACATAAATAGTAACATGTATTATACTCAACATAAACTGTACCCCCGCAGTACCGTCGGTGGAGCTGGTGGGGGGCGGGGAGGTGTACTTAGACCGTGGGAGTACCCTTAACCTCACCTGTATGGTACACTTCAGTCCTACCCCACCTGAGTTCATCCTCTGGTACCACCGAGATAAGGTGAGTGTCTTGGTGAGGGACTCTTAATTAGGGAAGTCTTTCTAGGTGAAGCTATCTAGGTGAGCCCTCTAGATGTAGTTGTCTAGTTAAGTGATCCTGTCTAGGTTAGGTTAGGTTAGGTTAATTTAAAGTTTGATTAAATTAGGTTAGGTTAGGTTAAGTTAAATTAGGCTGTATTTGGTTAAGTTATATTATACTCAAGTTAAATTAAATTAAACTAGATTAATTTACAGTAAGAATACGTCAACAAACTACACCACCTCCTGACCCCTCTCTTGGTCTCCTCTACAGCTGGTGAACTACGGACAGCCGAGCCGGGCCATTACTGTAGAGACGGAACACGCAGGAGACACAACAAGGTCCTCCCTCTTGGTCAAAAATGCCAGCAGGTGGGACAGTGGACCTTATGCCTGCAAGCCCTCCAATGCTCAGCGGGTGTCCATCAAAGTTCACGTGCTGAGGAGTGAGTATGGTGGGTGGGTAGGGTGGGTGTGGGGGTGTGGGGCAAAAAACAAGGGGTAAGTAGGTGGGAGGGAAGGAAGGGGGGGTGTAGGATGGTGAGAGGAAGGGTAGGTGGGTGGGAAGAAGGTGGATGGAAGGGGGGGCAAAAAAGAGGGTGGTTATTGGGTGGAAGGGAGGGAAGGAGAGAAGGGACTGGTAGGTGAGAGAGGGGAGGGAAGGAAGATGGGAAGGAGATAGAGTAAGTGGGTTTAGAAGGGAAGGAGGATAGATGAGTGGTAAAGAAGGAGGGTAGGAGGGAGGCAGGCAGGTAGGAAGGAAGGTGGGTGGGAGGGAATGAGGCAGGCAGGTAGGAGGGAAGGTGGATGGGAAAGAGGTAGGTGGGAGGGAAGGAGGCAGGCAGGTAAGAGGGTGGGAGGGAGGCTCACTAGATACTATGGCTCTAAGCTTTCCACCCTTCAGAGAATATCCTTCAAAGACCACGCGTTGAATAGCGGAGTATGGGTGAAATTTAGATGGAGGGAAGTGAGATTGGATGGGGAGGAAAGAAAGAGGATGAGGGGGAGTATGGGAGGGGGATGGAAGAGGAGGGGGATGGAGAGGAGGGGGCAGAAGAGGGGAGGGAAAACAATAGACCAACAACAAGAGACATCAACTGCAACTCTCTCTCTCTCTCTCTCTCTCTCTCTCTCTCTCTCTCTCCTCTCTCTCTCTCTCTCTCTCTCTCTCTCTCTCTCTCTCCCTCTCTCTCTCTCTCTCTCTCTCTCTCTCTCTCTCCCCCTGAGTGTCGCGCCGCCACCAAAGAGCCTGTTGGCATTTAGTCAGAGCAGACGTCACTAGGGCAGAACGTGTTAGCACCAAAGACACCGGACGACCAGGTATTATTTCCCTGTGAGTCGCTGGGAGGCTATTGCTGGCTATCACAACTCTCTATCTGATGGCCCATTTTGCTTTTGGCACTCATACTTGGCACTCATACATCTTACCTGGCACTCATACATCTGACATTGGCACTCATACAATTACTTGTCACTCATACATCTACTTGGCACTCATACAGTTACTTGTCCTCATACATCTGACATTGGCACTCATACAGTTACTTGTCCCACTCCATACATCCCTGACATTTCAGCACTCATACAGTTACTTGTCACTCATACATCTGACATTAGCACTCATACAGTTACTTGTCACTCCTTACATCTGAGCATTGGCACTCATACAATTACTTGACACTCACCTACATACATACTTGGCACTCATTTATACCTGGCATTCACATACATGCATACATACATACATACATACATACATACATACATACATACATACATACATACATACATACATGCATACATACATGGCACTCACATACAGTACACATATACCTATCACTCACAAACATGAAATTAAGAATCTATTTATTTTTTAACTCTGACGAAGCTTAAGTTTATCTATTTTTTCCCCTGACAAAGCTTAAGCTGATCTGACTTACTCCTGACCCACTGTGAACCAATCTAGTTAAGCTTGTCTGAAACCTTAACTTCTTTCACACGTTATAACTTAACTTAATGCAGCTCTGATATGTTTCTTATCTGACTGAAACCTGACCTAACGTAACCTACTGTAAGCTAAACCTAACCTAACCAAACCTAACACAACCTAACCTAAACCTGACTTAACTCTACGTAACCAAATCTAACCCCACCAAACCTTTACGTGTCTCTTGAGATAACCTAACCTAACCAAACCTTCAGATAACCTAACCTAACCTAACCAAACCTAACCTAATCTAATCCTTTGGTTACTTATATGTGTATAATTGGAAGGAAAATGTTTACTGTGGATTTATGAACAACATTGAACCCTGTGAACAAACTTTGAACACATACAAAAGGGTTCAGTTGTGTAGGGGAGATAAAACTCTTGATTTTTTATATAGGTTTTAAATTTAGGGGTTTAAATTTAGCATGACGAGGATGTTTAGGATTTTAGACACACACACACACACACACACACACACACACACACACACACACTCACACACACACACACACACACACACACACACACACACACACACACACACACACACACACTCACACACACACACACACACACAATCTTTAATTAATCCTCCCTTTAACAAAACACTACCTGTAATTATCTAAAACCCAGGTACAGTAATTAACGAGAAGTAATATAACCCGAAGTAAAAATAAAATATTGGAACCCTCAATCAAACTCAGTCTTGATCCAGATGAGAAAAAAGAAGAGAAAAAATAATACTGGTTGAAGGAATTGATGGAGTCTACCCTTAAAACAGTTTTCTTTGAGGGGATAATTGTAGCTTGGAGTGTGAGAGCTTATTTTCTTTACCTAACTACAATGTCAGGTTAGGTTTGGTTAGGTTAGGTTAGGTTAGGTTAGGTTAGGTTTGGTTAGGTTAGGTTAGGTTAGGTTTCTCAAATTTGGCTTAGGTTATGTTAGGTTAGGTTCGGGTTCTCAACTTTGGTTATACTTCGGCTGTTATATGACCTAAGGGAGTGTATACGTTATATTTTAGAGTATACTTTGAGGCAGTATAGGTGTAAAAAAAAGTTCGTAAATATTGTCATAAGGGAAATATTTGATCTTTAGGTTATAGTGGACTAAACGGTTATCAGGAATATACAGAACCTAACGTAACCTAACGTAACCTAACCTAACGTAACCTAACGTAACCTAACCTAACCTAACCTAACCTAACCTAACATTCTGAACACTTGCAGGTCCTTCCAACAATTCCATGATCACATATTAACTCTTTAACACAGTCTTGATAAGGTAATATGTCTCCTTATAGAAGAACAATAACAAGAGGAACACAAACACTAGACTTCGAATCCAATATCACTCCAAATTAAAACATAAGGTATCCAAACCCCTGATATGGAATTCAATCTCAACCCTATGATGCCAATACTGTGTTGACAAGACTGGATTCACTCTCTTATATCTCTTAAGAGCGTCCTAGCACGATGGTCGGTACAGGAGAATTGACGTCGCTAAATTTACGGTATATGATTATTCGCCTCCAAAACATGAAGAGATTTTACTGCCATATGATAATTTGTTCGCCATATTTTCACCCCGTTATTTCCCTCTTCCTTCATGCCCTCCCCACTACAGGTGATTGAAGGGTGGAGGAAAAAACGAGAAAAATTTGAAAGAAATATTTTAAGGAAAAAGTTGTGATATCGTTATTATTACTTACTGAACCAATTCTATAAACTCCTTCCACCTACCGATATTTCTATTCTGGTTGAGTAAGTCTGATATATACACTCGTCTGTTATTGACCTCTTAAGCGTCTTACAGTCAGGGTACATCTGAGCTCCGTCTTAGTGTCATACCCAACTTGGTTTCAGAACCGTACGACAGTTTGGGGAGATTTACTCAGGCATCACCGAGCTACCATCCTCATCCGCTCTGGTGTGACAGCTAAACAGTACTGCCAGGCGTATGATCAAGAAGTTTTAACCCTACTTAAAGACAATTTCCTCTAGTTATTAACCATCCCCACACCTAGTAACTACTGAAAGAGGTACAATCATCCTCTTTTGCTGTATGTGACGAAGAAACAGAGAGTCTATTCACCGGATAGACGCACAGAGACACATGGTTGCTTTGTGGCATAGAAATAAGTCTAAAGAAAATTTTTTGTGTCTACGCCAAGGCCACAGATCTTTGGCTTGGAATACATGGAAACTTTTGTGTGTGGGAGAATCAAGGGATATTTATTTTTTTTCCTCCTGTGTACCTGTCTTGAGCAGTGGCCGTAATTATCCTGCTTGGTAAACATCAGGTGAATCGGCCTGGAGGTGAAAACAGTTCACAGAGAAAGGGAAATAATCTATTTTAATTTTAGGGTTTGGTTTAGTAACTTCAATATCCGCCTTTTCTAACCTAACTGATGGATATATTTTGCACATGAGCACGTCTATTTTATTTTACATATACTTTTTAAAGCTTCCAGTGAGTAATTCTTGTATAATTGACACTTCACACTTCACCATATGACACATTAATGACTTGACACTTCATACGATACACTAATCACTTCACACTTCACCATATGACACACTAATCGCATAACACTTCACCTTATGAAACTAATGACTTGACACTTCACCATATAATACTAATCACTTGACACTTCATACGATACACCAATCACTTGACACTTCATATGACACACTAATCACTTGACACTTCACCATATAATACTAATCACTTGACACTTCACCATATGACACACTAATCACTTGACACTTCATATGACACACTAATCACTTGACACTTCATATGACACACTAATCACTTGACACTTCACCATATGACACACTAATCACTTGACACACCTGACACACCAGTTTCTATGATAACAATTCCTCTTCCCCTTGCACCATATTAACAGCCAACCAGTTCCCCATAAAAATATTCCCACGAGCAAATGACCAGATATCTCTTGAGACGGTCTGACAATATTGAGAGAATGGGAAGAGAAAGAGAGATAAAAAAAGAGAGCAAGTAATTCAGAAGAGGGAGAGAGAGAGAGAGAGAAGGAAAGAAGATGGAGGAAGAGGTACAAGTGAGAGGGTCCGATGTATGGGAAGTAGCGATGTGAGTTAATGAATGACTAGACAAAAGGCGACTGTGTTAATGCTTATGTATGTATGTATGTATGTATGTATGTATGTATGTATGTATGTATAGATAGATAGAAATGAGTTTAAGTGAAAGAAATATATTAAATAAATTATCCTTAAACTACTTGTGAAACGACCATATCTGATTTTCCTTTTAGTTACCCCTTTAGGTGATTAAGTATTCATGGTCGTTTTCTATAAATCCTAAGATCACTTTTACTCTCCTCTACTCTGTCCCTTCACCTATATCTCATTATATAGATCCTTTATAGTTACCATCAGTACACCTGTGTTTACTAATTACACAATAGATCACCTGAGCCGGACTCATTAATTAGTTTTCTCCATCGTAGTAGGTGATTAAGGATAATTATTATTTACCTGTTTATGAGTTACCTGGAGTGTGGGTGATTATAGTGTGAACGTTAGCTATAGGTGTTAGCAGTGTCTCCCCCCCACCCCCCCTCTCTCTCTCTCTCTCTCTCTCTCTCTCGTAGCTAATTATGTGTTTACCTGGTAATCACCTCACCTGCTAGCTAATTTACCTGTGTTAAGTCTTATATTTTTGTGTTGGTGATTTCTCATATTTCCGTTTGTTCAGTATTCCCATCACCCTTCTCGTAGTTATATTCTGAGGGGGGGGAGGGGTAGGGAAGAGGGGAAATAGGAAGGGATGGGGAGAAGGAAGGAAGAGGGGAAGGGGGAGAAGGGGAAGGCCAAGTGAGGAAGAAGGGAGATGGAGGGACATGAAAGGAAGAAGAAGAGGAGGAGAGGGAAGAGGAGGAATGGAAATGCCAAGGAGAATATAGAAGGGAAAGAGTGGGAAGGAGAAGACTGGATGAGGGGATAAAGTGGAGGCAGGAAAGGGAAGGAAGTGAGGGAGGGAGAGAGAGAGAGTGGAGAGAGAGAGAGAGAAAGAGAGAGAGAGAGAGAGAGAGTAACACAGAATAGGTGAATATAACTGAGACCAAGGAAAAATATCTTCACATATTATTTTATACATGATTCTATTTTTCTTTTATTTTTATTTTTTCGTTGTATTGTTTACTTTTCCGTTTTCTGTCAGGAGTCTAGTTTTTCCAGCTGAGACTTTTTTAATGATAATAAAAGTAATGATAGGAATAATAATAATAATAATAATAATAATAATAATAATAATAATAATAATAATAATAATAATAGTAATAATAAAAATAGTGGTAGTAGTAGAGTAGTAGTAGTGGTAGTAGCAGTAATAGTAGTAGTAGTAGTAGTAGTAGTAGAGTAGTAGTAGTGGTAGTAGCACTAATAGTAGTAGTAGTAGTAGTAGTAGTAGTAGTAGTAGTAGTAGTAGTAGTAATAGTAATTCACTAGACTGAGTCGTTTTAAAGGTCGTTCTGAACTACCCTGAACGTCAATCGAGGGGTCGTTCACCTTATTACCTGTTCGTTAATTAATTTTTATCTCTGATAGGTGAGACGCCGGCAGCGATGCAGACGACAACTAGCGGGGCTACCTCCACCACTACCACCACCACCACCACCTACAACTACTACCACCACTACTACCACTCTCACAGTCTTTTCTGTTTCTTCTCTTCCTTCCTTCTCCTCCTTCTCACTTCTTCCTCTTCCTTCCGTTGCCAGAGATAAGGCCGTAGTATATTCTGTGCAGCAAGGAAGGAGAGAGAGAATGAAATATAGATTGAAAGAGAGAGAGAGTGTGACCTGTATATTGTAGATTAGACATGAGAAAAAATAGAGAGAAAAATTCTCCTCTCTCTCTCTCTCTCTCTACAGATGGTCCTTGACATCCTCAAACCACAGTAGCCCTAAGTGTAAACAAATCATGACCTCTGAGCTTATATAAATATTATCCCTATTTCATAATTATATTGTTAGGAGTTCGTAGCCCTCTCCTCTCAGTGCCCGGGGAATGTAACTAGCCTATATATATCTCTATTTGGCTATATTAAACCGAGTAATATAGCCAAAAGATACACCTCCTATATGCGGCTTGAGAATAATAGCCAACGTGGGGTTTATAGCCAGTGGAGAGCTGTACTGTATATAATTTGGTTATAGATTTTATCCCATTGTTTGGCTATATTGGGGAGGATATAGGCAAGTCGACAATGCTCCTGAATGTAGTTATAATGTTATCTCCTATCTGGCTATATTATCCAAAAGTATTATAGTTTAAGAAGAGTTGCAATGTGGTTAGAATATTTCCCATGTTTGGTTAAGTTATGGAAGTAATATAACCACAAGGGCTCCTGAACTAGAGTAATATCTCATATTTGGCGATATTATCAAAAACAATATGGCGAAAGAGAAAAAACTCCTAATTATGGCAAAAATATATTCCCCAATTGGGTTATACTATACAGAAATATAATATGGCTATAAGAGAGTTGCTAAATGTGACTCGAAGGTTTATTATCCACATAATATGGCCTATAAGAGCTGCTAAAATATTTTGCTATAATTGGCCATATTGTTAGGGTAATTTATCTTTAAAAAAAACAGTATGTAAAAATATGGAAGTTTTGTACAGGATGTGAACCTATTATACTACATGTGGCTATATAATTTACATAATATTAACCTCCGAAAAGACACGTAAAAAAAAAAAACATATAACTCATTGCTATAGTATTTTATATTTGGTAATATTATTTAATACAATATCCCAATAATATATATCAAAATATGTGTAAACTATATGATAATACATTAGATTGGTATATTAATTGGTTATATTGGTTAAATAAAACACATAATGGTATACTGGTTGTTAGGGTATATTTGAGTGTATTTGGGTATATTTTCTTATATTTCCACACTAATATAGCCAATGGAAGTATAACCAGCATCTAGTCTTCTGATAATGGTTGATATATATTATATTATGTGTTTGGTTATTTCAATATAATATAGCTTAAGGCAGTGTTTCTTAGGTCTATATTAATCCGTGGCCTCCCTATGTGTTGACCTATGACCTCTCACCATCCCCCCCCTTAATTAGATATATCATAGCCCCTTAGAAATATCACAGCACCCCCTTGAAATATCGTACCACCCACCTGAAATATCATAGTGCCCCTTTAGATATCACAGCACCCCCTGAAATACTACAGCGTCACCCCTTAGAAATATTACAGCACCCCCTGAAATATCATAGCACCCCTCCCCCCCCCTGATATATTGTAGCACCCACCTTAAAATTATAACAGCACCCCTGAAAAATCACAGCATCCCCCTGAAAATTATCACAGCACCCCATAAAAATCACAGCGCCCTCTGAAAATATCATAGCACCCCCATGAATTTTATCACAGCGCTCCCTCTTAAAAAGAATCACAGCGCCCCCGGTTAAAAATCACAGCGTCCCCGGCTAAAAATCACAGCCCCCCGGTTAAAAAATCACAGCGCCCCTGGCTAAAAATCACAGCGCCCCAGTTAAAAAATCACAGCGCCCCGGTTAAAATCACAGCGCCCCGGTTAAAAATCACAGCGCCCCGGCTAAAAAAATCACAGCGCCCCCGGCTAAAAATCACAGCGCCCCCCCATTGTTTAAGAATCACTGCCTTAGGTAAAAAAAAAGTAATATACATACATAAATATGATGAATAAATCCTATTTTTAGCGCGTAACGAAGAATGAAAAGTTAAGATGGATTCCTGCTAAGGTGATTGTGGAGTTAGCAGACATTTTTATTCAGGTGATTGCGATGTTAACAGACATTATTTACTGTTATTTACTCCTGGTGATTGCGGTTTTAACATACTTTTTTTGTCAGGTGATTGTGGTGTTAACAGACATTATTTATTCCTGGTGATTGTGATGTTAACAGCCATAGTTCATTACTTTTGTTTATGGCTAAATATTATTCATTTTAGTGTCGTTCATTTGTGTTTTGTGAAGGCAGGAGTTCATCTTGGCTTAAATATATGTTGTAACTGTGATACTCTCTCTTATAAACAATGTGGGTATTACAGCACAGAAAACTATAAATAAACATACAATTATACACAAGAGAATAAACAGTGTAACCGGAGAAAATTGGTGATAATTCCGAAATAACATAATAATAGACAATAAAAGAAAAGGAAAATAGAGAAAAATAAAATAGAAATATTTTTGAGATTATTTAGAATAATTTAAGATAATGTTACCAGGCAGAAACCTTAATAAAACTGAAAAAACAAATCAAATTTACTCTAAAAAAAATATTACTTTGAAGATTATTGAATGAAAACACTGGAATGGGATGGAGAGAAATTAGTAAATGAAAATAGGTTGGAAATAACCTTAGAGTTTTGACTAGAAATAATAATGTATAATACTTTAAAAAATCAGTGAAGGAACATCTAAGAGAAAGACTTTGAGGATTACTGATGAAAAAGTATGTAAAATAATTCAAACTTAGAAAATTAGTGAATAATGATAAAAATAAGAACTGTAAAATAAAAGCAAATAACTTTAGTGAATTAATAAATAAAATATATTTAATTGAAAATAGAAATGTTATAAAAAAACAATATTGGTGGCAGCAATATGAAAATTAATAAATGTTAAGAAACATATGTCTGAAAATTGCAAGGGTAAACAGATAGTGGTAAATATATGTGATAAAGTAAAGTAAGATAGATATATATTAACAAAACACCTGAAAAATATATTTGAAAATGACAAGATATGCAAGAAATTTTTACTTAAAAAGAAAATACTAACGAAAGATCAATTTGGACCTGAAAAAAAATATCACTTGAAGAAAATTTATTCCCCAAAATATTAACATAAGCATATTACTTTAGAAAACTTTAACTGAATATAAACTTTAGAAAAATGTTTTGAACTTAGTGAATAATTTTTGTAGAGTTGATGTTTATTTAGCAAAAAAAGATAGGTATTGAGAACTGTTTTTATGACAAAGAATGTTTACAATGTGTCTTCCGATGTGGGGTCTGTGTGTGTACTGTATATTATTAATAAAACTTAAACATCTTTCTTCTTACTTGTCCTTAGCTTAACCTATCTTAACCTAACTAACTTAACCTAACCTCATCTAATCTAACCTAACTTAACCAATCCTTACCTTCCCTACCGTACATTAACCAAATTAAACTTACCTAACCTAACCTAACCTAACTAACTTAACCTAACCTAACCTCATCTAATCTAACCTAACTTAACCAATCCTTACCTTCCCTACCGTACATTAACCAAATTAAACTTACCTAACCTAACCTAACCCAATCTACCCTAGCCTAACTCCACTGGTAGCGTTAGGATGCTCAATCGTCATGTCATATAAGCTATTGGGTGGTTATAATATTCACGTGATCTACCAAACAACTCACACCTGCCACACCAGATAGCAATTAACACTCACACACCTGTATACATACGAACCTCACTCGTCAACAAACATTAAAAATAACTTCCTCATTAATTACTCCTATGCTGGTGATAATTACTTCATTAATAGATATCTAAATACCAGGTACCATTGGAATCTTATTTTATATTATATTTCAAAAGAAGAAATTGTTTGGTGTTGAATTCGCTACTGATAATATTGGAATTCCTTATTTATTTATTTATTTTTTGTTCTGATTGCCATCATCTGAGTTAATGAGTTTGTATCTGATAGGGAGGTACTATTATGTGTTAATTGGTCTATTAAACGAGTGGGCTGTTATGTTAAACGAGTAATTTGATCATTAAGCTAATGTTATCTCTTCAGTTAAACGTATGTCTGTATGTTGCGATGAATCTATGTAACAAAAGCCTTAACAAAAAATTAAAAAAACAATAGCCAGGAATTTAATATCATCTTAACTACAAATCTATCATACTTATATAACTCATCTACAATATATCTTTAAAACACTTACCAAATATAACCAATATGTCTTTAAAACACCTACCAAATATAACCAATATGTCTTTAAAACACCTACCAAATATAACCAATATGTCTTTAAATATAACACTACTAAAACCCATGAAATTCTATTCTAATGTTATAATCCCTTTTTTAAATCGAATAAAATAACACCAATAACAATATCACCTTTTTTTTTAATCATAGGGATACAGCTGTTATAACTTTTAATATAGGTTATGTAGTGAATGTGTGATATATATCATTTACGATATAGGGAGCGTAAATTATTTTCTAACTACAGAATGTTAATTAATTTTGAACTGGACGTAAAAAAAGCTTTGTAGCAATTCATTACTTCAGTTAATGGCTTCAAATATTTGTCCTATTTTTTATATTAATTGGAATAGGAAAAGGGGTTAATTAATCTAATGGACCAGGTGGTAGTTTGATAATCATTTTTATTATTTATTTTTTGGGGTTATTATTGTGCTTATTGATGTCGATGTTGTTGTTGTTTGTTGTTGTTTTTATGTAATGGTGTTGGTGGTAGTCGTATTATTATTATTATTATTATTATTATTATTATTATTATTATTATTATTATTATTATTATTATTATTATTATTGGTAGTAGTAGTATCAGTATTGTTATTTCGTTATTATTATTATTATTATTATTATTATTATCATCGTTTTCAATATCACTCTAACATCCTACTCATATTTTTCAAAGTTTATTCAATTCATATTTTCAGATAAACTTTATAATATGTTCTAATATATATAATTAGTATACAGAATAATTATACATCATATCTCTCAAGGCTTCTAAGTAATTTATTCCAGTATAGTAATTTATTTGTCTCTCGTCACTTGCTATCTCTACATGCAAGAGTTCTTTATGACTCTAATGGTTTACCCGAGTATGCTTTTGGCCTCAGTGGTATATTTTTCATGACGTTTCTAGATATAACTGAGGTATAATGGAGTTGTTGTTTTACGTGAAATTGATATATTTTCCTTTTTTTTTTGT